TTTTTTTTTTTTACTCTTCTTTTAGTTATTTTAAACACTTCTCTTAAAAGTAAGTGTAATAAACAAACCTAATCTATTATAATATTTATTTTTTATATCTTCGCCTTTTTATTAACCATTTATTTAATTTATATTTTTTTTATATAAATTTTTATATTCATCCTTTAAGAAAAAGAGCAATAAACAAGCTTAGTTTATTGTATTATTTTATATTCACCTTTTAATTATTTTACATTAAACAAAAATTATATCACACCACATATACAAGCATAAAGATATCAACAGCTTCTTCTATATGTGATAACCTCTTCATGATGTGGGTGATCATGGCTCTTAACAATTTCCTGTCCTTTGTAGCGCCTAGTAAATTTTACCTTTTTGCTAACTCTCCTAAACTCTGTTTGGCCTTCCATTTACACGATACTGTTTTAATTTAGTACAGAATCTATTCCATAATTGTATATCTACAAGCACACACTCATGTAAATAGCATATATAAAGATTGTGGTTTATTCTAAATAATTTGAATAAAATTCTTTCAGTGATTACATAGCTGCACTTTCTATTTATCCTCCCCTCTCTTCTAGAGACTTGCAAATTCTATCTATTCTGATTCATACTTTTTCAAATATTTTTAATTGTTCTAGGATATATGTTCTATTATTGTTATGATGACAATTATGGGTATTGTTTAAATCTAGCTGTGATATGTTTTTGTTTTTTTTTATTCTTTTCTGAAATTCTGGATTAGTATTTATATTGTTTGTACTGTCTATGAACAATTGTGGTATTAATATTTGTCTATCGGTAATGGTGTAAAAGGATGTGGTGTTTGTAAAGTTAGGGATACTATGAATATCTAATAAGGCCACTGGAAAGACTGACAATTTTTTCTTGCCATAACTGCAGTTTTAATGCTCCTGTGTGACCATTCAACCAGACCATTAGACTGAGGATGGTAGGCAGTAGTTCTTAACCTACAAAAGTCAAGTAGTTTTGCTATCTCCACAAATAACTCACTTTTGAATTGTCTACCGTAATTATAGGAAGTGGGATATCCCCTCATGTTATCTACATGTTAACAAAAGCTTGAGCTACATTTTTAGTTGTCATGGATTCATCTTCTATCAATTTGGTATTGTGATCAATGGATGTTAATAGATATCTATATGGACAATTTTAAGGATCATTAGTATTTTTAACTGGAGGTAGTGGTCCAACAATATCAATATTAATTGTGTGGAATCTGTCTGCTAGGATTTCTATTGATTGAATATGTATTCTAGTGTGTCAATTAATTTTGGCTTGCTGACATGTTTCACATTCCAAATAGATTTTTTTTTTATTGTCTTATCCATCTTGGGCCAAAAATATCAGGCTTTGATCATTTTTGTAGATGTCCTGATTCCAGGATGTGGTGTAGCATGTATACTATCAAATATAGACTTACATAGTGAACTAGGGATAAATAGTCTTGGAGAGTCAACATATGATAGTCAACATGGCACAGCAACAACTCTGTTTACAGAGAATTCTCAGAAAAGCTAATTCACATAACACAAATTGTTTTTCACTAGAAAGGTTAAATGTTTTTACATTTTCAAAACTATGGATTTCTGTGTATACACCTTGTGCTTCTGCCAGTGCTGGTAAGTCACAGAGGTCAACTTAAAGTGGAATGTGACAAGCAATCAGCAACTACATTGTGTTTTCCTTTTATGTGTTCAGTGTCAGAGATATATTCAGTTAGCAGGGTTAACTGGTATTGTTACTTATCCAACTTGGCTGGATTGAAACTGTAAAAGGTACCACATGGGTTTATGGTCAGTCAATAGTATAACCTGCTAACTTATCAGGTGGCGAAAATGCAATATAGACAAATATTCTAATTCTTGATCAAATGTTGAGTATTTTATTTGCGTGAAAGTTTTTTTTTAGAAAAATCCTATTGGTATAGGGTTACCATTTATTAATTGATGTAGTACTGCACCTACCACATATTTACTGCCATTGGTAACCAATAACCAATTGATAGGTGATACAGTTAGGTTGAGGGTGGGCTAATGAAAGGAAATCACTAAGGATTTTGATAATATTATTGAATGTTTTTAATTCTATTCAGTGTAATTGAACCTTTTGGAGAACTCTTCATTTTTTCTGTTAAAGGTAACATTAGCTCTGCAAATTTTGGGATTAATTTTCTATAAAAATTTATCCTTCCTAAAAATCTATATAAACTTTTAAAATCACTTGGTGGTGGGAATGGTTGTAGATTACTGATATTTTTTTTTGCTGGTGGTTTAATACCATCTGCACTTATATTATAACTGAGGAAATCTAAGGAGTCAATGTTAAATTCATATTTAAAGACAAACACTTTATGGTTATTTTTACTTAAGATGTTGAAAACAGCATCTATATCTTGCATATACGATTGTTCATTTTCACTGATGATTAGTATATCGTCTATATAGACAAAAATACAGTCTAGATTGGCAAATATTTTGTCCATGAATTGCTGTAAAGTTGCTGCTTCATTTTTTAAAGTAAAAGGCATGTAGTTGTATTCATGGTGACCTAATGGGGGGGTTACAGCAGTCTTTCCTATGTTGTCTGGGTGCATCTTAATTTGTTGATAAACGGTAAATAAGTTGACATTATAAAAACGGTTTTATTTGTTAGCTGTAACCTTGCTTTAAGCAACTTGTTATAATGGGCCTTGTTTGACTCCTGTTTTTGGTTAGTAAAATATACATATATACATCATAACAACAAAGTGAGACATTTAAAATATATAGAAGGATTTATTATCAGAAGGATTTGGTTGTACAAGTTCAATAGATATATGAAAGTTCTTGTAATGTGTTTGGCATGGTAAATGAATAAATTATTTACATGTGATAAGTCTATCATTAAGAGGTAATATTAAACATTAGAAAGTGATATTTGTGTAAGACTTATCTGTGGTCTTCATTCCAGGAGCAGCTCAAAATTATGTGCTCTCTTGGTGAGAGGTCGATGAAAAGAGAAAGACTCTATATTTCCCACCAGTAGGGTGGTTTTCTTTCTCCTATGGAATCATGGGAAATTAGGTTTCCTTTTTTTTTTTTATTTCTCATGATTACAAGATTAATACAACCTTAAAGGCAAAAAAGTGGACTTTCAGAGAAATGCCACAGCACTTGTCCATTTGGTTATTGGCAGTGATTTTGTGGAGAGAGTGGATAAAATTTTCTCGGCACATGTGTTGCAGAGGATATCTCCTGGACTAGTGATGTCATCATGATAGTCAACATGGCACAGCAACAACTCTGTTTACAGAGAATTCTCAGAAAAGGTAAATTACAGCTGCTGAAGACCTTCTACCGCTGCTCATTCAGCATCACTGCTTGATATGCCAGCTGCTCAGCAGCGGACAAAAGAGCCCTCCCAAGGATTATAAACATCCAGAAAATAATCAGCAGCTTCCTGCCCTCCTTGGAGAATATTACTAATTCTCATAGTTGCAGCAGAGAGAAAACATAATCAGAAACAGCACACATCCCAGGTACCACTTGTTTGAACTGTTACCCTCAGGGCAATGTTTTCCTTCCATTAGTTTTAGGACAGAGTATTTGAGGGACAGCTTTTATCCTTACACCCTTCATAAAATGAACACTGCTGCATGCTGACAATTTCATTGTATTTTAAACATATTATGTTGCTTAATTTGATGTTGTGTGTTGGTGCACCTGGGAATTGTTGTCCAATTTCCTTATGCACTGCACAGTGGTAAGAAGAATAAATAAATGAAATATTCTGCTATTATGATAAAACAAAGTATATTCATTTATTGGCATGATGCAATGTATTTTCTTAGCATAACAACAGAATATCTCACTATTCTTTTATGTGCTGCATCCCTGCAGGTTGTTGGCAATCATGGCTCTCCATAATTTCCTGTCCTTTGTAGCTCTTAATAAATTGTGTCTTTTTACTTTCTCTCTTAAACTCTATTCCGCCATTCATTCACTCAAGCTTGTCAGGTAGGTTATACATTTTTCCCTCTGTCTCTTTTGTCTTCGATCTGTCTTGCAAGTATCAAAGTTTTCAAGCCTTCTTTCCTCATTATGTGCCTTAGAAATATCAACTATCTCTTCCTGATGTTAACCATAAGTATCTTTTTTGTTTATATTGCCTTTAGAACTTCGTCTTTGCTCACATGTTCAGTTCATGGTATTCTCAGCATCCTTCCGTAGAACCACATTTCTGTTTCTGCAAGTTTCTTCTTCATCTGTGAGGAGATTGTCCAGCATTCATATATTGGAGGACTGGTATTACACAATAGTTTGGTACTTTGTTTCTAATGAAATGTTTCTCTTTCTTAATATTTTCCCAGCTTTTGGAAGGCATTTTTATGTGACCAATAAATATATAAAAGTAACATTTTATTAGAAGGGATAATTAATCTTTATTGGATGAACTCAACCAATGAACCTATTTTCTGTTACTGGTTTGTATAGAATAGTGGTTGTTAGCCATTTCTTCTCTTTTTTCATCTATTTCTGCTGAGTGGCTCTTGCTAAGTTAAAATTCCACTGGAGCAGATTTAATACAATAGAGTTAATATCACTTATTTACATTATGTTTGTATTTGAGTAATGCCAATCATCAGCTGTAATGGAACAACTCAGCAACAGTTAGATCATAGATAATGGCAGATTTTAGCTTGCAGGGTTTTGCTCTATAGACAAATTACAGTTTAAAATGTGTTGAAGAAGGTAAATATATAGGCAAAAATGAATATATAAATTTTTAAAAATTGTCTCAAAGAGTTTACTCATTTCATTGCTCTGTTAAAATGTTAGCAACTAAGCCATGACCCTACCTGAATATTTTATACTCCCTTCTGATTTCTTAACATCTCGAAGAGAGCATTACCATCCACATTAAGAATCACTGATATCTATTGATATATGTCATATTTATCTATCATATCTATCCATCTATCTCTATAAGTCATGTCTATCTATCTATCTATCTATCTATCTATCTCTATAAGTCATATCTATTTATCTCTGTAAGTGCTATGGTCTGGTTCCTTGTACCACGGTGATAGTCCAAGGTAGAACCAATAAAGAAAAACTCGAATACGGATATGGAATAACACAGATATATTACAAACAGGAATATATACAGAGAAGTAGAAAATGTTAGTACAAACAATCAGGTTTAGTAGTAATTGTCTGAACGCAACTCTGACTCGACTGACTGACTGACTGACTCGCTCGCTCTGACTGACTGACTCCTGACGGACCTCACTCCAGACTTCAGACTGAACTCCTTGCTTCCTCTTGAGGCATAGTATATATTACGTATGGAATAGTCCATTATGTTATTATGGGTAAGGTCCCATAACAGTAAGTCATATCTATCTATATGTCTGTACAATCATATCTATCTATCTATCTATCTGTCTATCCATCTGTACAAGTCATATCTATCTACCTTGTGCCTCATAATACATAAGGTCTCTACACTGCCCTGTAATCAGCTGCTACTCATGCCTCACCCCAAGATCACTAGCCCATTGCTCTCCACTCCTTCTCCATGTTATTCTTAATCTTCCATTTCTCTTTTTCCTTTTGGGGGTTCAGGTTAGTGTCATGTTGCAGTTATTGATTGAGCCTTGCCTTAAAGTGTGGCCAATGACCCTCTTCTTTGTCATACCTTGGCACTAAAGGGTTCTATAGTGGCATGTTGGAGTAGTTCCATCATTTTCACATTGTCTTTCCATCTAATATTGATGATCTTTCTTAAGTTGGTATGAAATGGGGCAGTAAGCTTGTCATCACCCTGATTAACATTCCATGTCTTGCAAATTATAATAGGATGGGGAGGAATCACTGATATAGATGAAATTAGGATTATATTACATTTATTTATTTATTTACGAGGGTGGGCTGAAAAGTTAATAGGCTGACTATTAAGGAGTGATGCAAGAGTTGTGAAATCTTGAATGTATTAATTTCAACTCTTATAAATAACTGCATTGTTTATTTCCAGGTAAACGGATATCTGACTATTCAAATAAGACTTCAAAAGTAACATTTGAAAATTGACAAGAATCTGGCATCAAATACCTGCAAAAAAGGTTTAACCCTTAAGGACATTGATGTAATTGTTATAGTGGAACACACCTATTCTATATAGACTCTCCCGCCTATAATAAGTAGGAGTAGTAAGAGTAATGAGTGAGTCGGTCAGTCAGTGAGTCAGTCAGTCAGTCAATGCTGGATGACAATTAGTCAAATACTAAAGTATCAGTGACCACAACTAGATTACTCTGCGTTATACCTATTATATCAAGTTCCTAATGTTTTGTACGTCGAACCTATTTTAGGACCGACTTAGTACAAATATACTCCACTGTGAAATCACTCCACAAAAGTAATGGAATAACCAGTCACCCCCATGAATGATTATAGGTAGTAAGTACCTATAAAGTCAACTGTCTATGAGAGACTTGAGGGAGAGCGAGATGACAAAAGCATGTCAGACCTTCCAATTAGTAGCACTCACTATTAGATTGACTCGAGTGTATAACTGTACCATTGTTCATATTGTTGTATACAATAAACCTTTCTTCTATTATCCACCTGGTATTAAGTATTTATTCACTTAGCACGGACTATAACAGACATTCATGTTGACATGGTTGCTACATTAAGGGATGACGCTTCAGATTTATCAACAGTGCAAAAGTGAGCAGCTGAATTTAGGAGAGGAAGGGAGAGTCTGGAAGATGACCCAAGGTCTGGGCATCTTGCAAATGCCACCAAGGAAAACATTGATTGCATTCATCACGTGGTGATGGATGACAGGCATATGACTATAAATCAAATAAAGTTGAGAATATTCTGCACAATGAACTTGGCAGGATGGAGGTTTCTGCCATGTCTTCTGACACCTGATCAAAAGTACGTAAGGCTGATCACATCGCAGGAAAATCCGACATTGTTTGAAGTCAATTCAGCTGGTTTCCTTGAACATTTCCTAACCCAGAAAGAGTGTTATGTTCATCACTTTGAACCAGAGACAAAGAGACAATCCATGCAGTGGATACACCCTTCTTCACCTGCTCCAAAGAAGGCCAAGGTTGTTTTATTTACAGGGGAGGTGATGGTCTCAGTTTTTTTGGATGCAAAAAGCATTGTGTTTATTAACTATATTCAAATGGACCAAACCATCAATGAAGAGTACTCTGCCAACTTGCTAAGGTAGTTATGAAAGGCTATCAAGACCAGATTCCCAGGAAAACTGGCAAAAGGGGTCTTGAGCTCACAAATCTCTGGTTTCAATAGTTGCTGTTCATGACTGTGGCTTTGAACTGGTTGATCACCCTTCTTATTCTTCTGATTTTGCCCCATCTGACTATCATCTGTTCCCCAACATGAAAAACAGTTTGCTGGGAATGTGTATCTCAGTTATGAAGTCTTCATATCTGCTGTTGATGAGTTTTTTACCAACAAGATAAAGCTTCTCCACTGATAAGATTCAAGCACTGCAACACTGATGGAAGGAGTGTGTAAATTGCAAGAGGGGCTTGTCTTGGTCAACCTATAAATTTTTCAGCCAGCTTTTGTATCTATATCATTGATCATCCCCATCCTATTATTATCTCAAACACAATTCTTCAGTTCTGAAGGAGTTAATTCAGACCTTTTTTATTATAATTATTTATTTTCATTTTACATATTGAAAGTTATATTTCTTGCCTTGCCTTGTGGTAGCCAGTCTACAAGAAAAAAATTTTTGAATTCCAAACTGTAGTGTTGACAATAGGAAACCACCTTACTATTTTTTCCAAGAAGTAAGAGAATTCACAGATAATAAAGAAAAGGAATCAGTTACTGTTTTGTTCACAGTGAAATTAATAATGTCTGTCCTAAATTAAGACAGGTGTATCTTCTAAAAATAATGTTTATTTTAATAAGAAATAATGTTGGTGTTATGGTAATTTACCCACACATACATGGACTCTCCCAGCTATAAATAGGAGCAGGTACTGCCTTTTGGAGAGGGAAGTTTCCAGCAGTCAGCTCTGACAGACTGAACATTCTTGCCGTAACACTCTCATTTGTATATGTTCGTATTAATGTTTCTGTTAATATATTTGTTTAACTCAATTCCTCTCTTTGTGTTGTTATTTCTGGCCCTAACAAGTCTACAATAGTTGGATAAAAAATTTTTCAAAAAAAAATCACTGTTGTTTATATTTCAAAGCTAGTAGATATTATAAATATGCAGAAGCCTCAACAAGAAAAACATGTCTCTTTTAACAGGTTATTCTGACTTTGTCCTCTCAGTTGGGCTCTGTGGCCAAAGTAGTAGAGGTATGCTTCAACTTAAGAAGATTTTTTTCCCCAAGGTAAAAAAATAGGGATGCCAGTTTTATTCTTGTCAGAGGCTGAATTTTTCTTTAGTAAGACTTCTCGGTTTACGCCTGTTGTTAATAATTTCACTGTTTAATAAAATAATAAAATAGGGATAGCAACTCAAACACATGTACCCACTAAAAATAATGTTTATAGTCGTAAGATAATATATTACAATATATATATATATATATATATATATATATATATATATAGAGAGAGAGAGACAGTATATCTTCATTCAAACATGCCTCATTGAATAATATAAATATATTATGTCTATTAATTTTTATAATAATGGTTTCTAGTTCCCTAATCCAAGGTTTTTCTATGTGGGCTATATGCTTCCCTTGGGATCCATGAGATATTTTCAGGAGCCACAAGACCAAGTTTGAAAAATGGTTGCAAAAGAGAGCACAGAAAATTTAGAACTCACAAAATATATACATATAGAGTATTTTGTAATTAATAATTATTACTTAAAATAATATATTAAACTTATTAAGTTAAATATTAAATTAATGTAAGCCATTTTGTTAACATAAATATTTATTTATTGTAATTTTTTTCATTTGATTTATGTAAAATGGCCCTTTTTAGTTTTCAATTTCTTAAAATTCAAAACTCAATTTAAAGTTTAAATTAAGGTATGTTTTTACCGATTTTTCTTTACTTTTGGCATTTCTTAATTTCTCCATGTGTCTGCTATGCATAACCTCGCTTTAAAATGAAAGTATACATCTCTGCAAATTGAAAAAAAAACATCTGGAGACTGCACATAGAGACAAGAAAGACAAAGCCAATAGATTTCTTCAAGAAGTTACATGATGAGCAACAAGAAAGGATGACCATGAATCATATATTTACCCAAAAAAGTGGCAAAAGTAGACAGAGGAAGATAACAAATTTGATTGCAAAAGCAGGTAAGCCTCATACTATTGGTGAATCTCTGATCATGCCCATAGTGGCTGTTGTGCTTTCAACAGTCATGAATCAGAGTCCACAAGATAAATAGTGTTATTCCTCTGAGCAACTCCTCAGTATCACAATGCATTGATGAAATGGCAGCTGATGTTGAAAACCAATTTGTCTCAAAACTGCCAGTAAAAGAGTTCTCACTTCAACTCAACAGATCAACTTTACCTGATAGTTCTGCTTTCTTGATGGCATTTGTGAGGTTTCTTGATGTTGATGATATATGTCAAGAACTACTTTTCACATTGAAACTAACAACTGACACTAAAGTTGAATCCATCTCCAGAATCTTGAGGCCTATTTTGAGGAGAACAAGATTCTATTCAAGAACATTGTGGCTTGTGCAACAGACAGTGCTGCTGCTATGATTGGAAGGTATCATGTGAAGATCATTCGTTGGATGTAGGCCTTCTTCAGATTCATGGAATTCATTTGTTGTTCAGATTCATGGGATCATTTGTTGGATGTAGGCCTTCTTCAGATTCATGGGAAGAATGTGCCACTACCCTAACACACTGACCTAGAGAAGGATGTAACATATTTGGGTGATCATTTTGATTAATAATCAGCCAAGTGTATTTGTATAAGTGAATCAGTGGACTAAATAAAAGGTTTGGTTTGAAATTCTGTATATCATATGAAGAAGGCCAGATCGTACAATAGCTGAAATAACGTGAATATGACAATAAAGATGAGGACCATATTCTGAATAATGTAAATAGTGTAAATAGTTACGATACCTCATCTCAGAAATATAATTTAAATTTTTGAAGAGCAAATTTGACTGGAAAAAAAGAGGCTGGAACAGAGTTCTATAAGGGAGAAGTGCAAGAGAAGAACTAATGGTTACATCTAGAAGCTTCAACTGTAAAATGATGAGACATTGCTGCCAATGTAGTAGTATGCTTAAATTCATAAAGTCTCGGTACCAAAGAGGAAAGCTCATCAGAACAATTACTATAAAAATATTTATAGAAAAGGCACTGGGATGATGTGTTACAACAGTAGGAAAATGACTGAAGCCAGAATATTAGCCCAAAACAAATAATATTGTAGATTCTTCTTTGTATTTTATCAAGAATCTCTAAATATATAGCTGAAGCAACTGACTAGATGTAAAAGCAATATTCAGTGCATGAATGAATGGTTTTGTTAAATATCTATGAATAATTTCCTTTTATACTAAGTTGCTCATTTCACAAATGAAAAAACTATAAAATTTAGTTCCACTGAAAGAATAAATATATTCATAGTTTAAAACTCTGCTTACAAGATTTTTTTTCAGAGGAAATCCTGAGAAAATTCTTTAAGTAGTTTTCTAAAGTAGATTTTTACAGTTCTGGTCTTCTGTAGCAAAAATTGCCAATGGCTGATTTCAGAGGAAATGAATGAATTTTTTACCAAATAGTGATTATTGTTATGTGTGGTGGATGGTTGTAAGAAATTTCTTTTAACAAAATGGGGTTACAATTCAAAAACTTTTGGTCAGCTTGGTCTCAAATATAGATGAGTTCAATTGTCTGAGCAAAATTTGGAAGGATAGATCTTATCGCTTTCCCTTATCTGCACTCCTTCTCCCCTTCTTTTGTTTTCTTTTCCATCTTTATTTTCTACTTATTTCTTCTTTTTGTCTTTTTTCTTTTCATTTCTCATAATTTCCTTTTGTCATTATCCAACCACTTTTCTTCTTTATTGTTTTATTTTTCTTCCTTTTGTCTTTCATTTTACTTCTTCATTTGTTTTTCTTCTCATTCCATTTTCATTCTTTTCACTTCTTTTTCCTTCTTTTCTTTCCTCCTTATCAACTTTTTTGTTGTTTACTCTTTCTTTTTTGCTTTTTACTCTTCTCTTCACTTTTTCATCATGATCTTTATTTTTTTTTGTTCATCGTCTTATTTTTTTTTTGCCTTTTATTCTTCATCACTCATTCTTCTCTTTCAGCTCATATTTTCTCCTCTTTCCTTCCTACCTCTTTTTCTATTTCCCTATTAATCTTTCCTCACTTTATCTTGTTTCTTCTCCTCTCCACAACTTTTCTTTCTTTTTTCTTCTTGTATCTCCTCTCTGCATTTTCTCATTTTTTTCTTCTTTTTTTGCCTTCTGCCCTTTTCAAACCAGCCAATACCAAGACAAATAACTGCTCTAAACTTGGCCATTTACTAATGTCACTTTGACCCAACAGAGGGCAGCAGCTGTAGCTATTTAAAAAAATTAACAAATAGATTAAATAAAAATAAACAAATGGCAGGAATACTAATTAGAACTCTCCAGTGTATGAAGATAAGAATGTTTACCTGAAAAATCTGGGCATTAAGTTTGGTTTAATATCTTTTTAGGTTACAATAATTTGGCAGTTGTTCCCAAAAGATATTAGACTTACATCCATGTCACATTGAAACACAGATTCTCATACGATCAGCAAAGTTAAGCAATATCAAGTCTGGTCAATATCTTGATGGGTGACTGCTTGGGAATACAATATGCTGTAAAGTTGGAGGTGTGGGTTGTATAATGGATAATGGCTCAGAATTGGAAATCAGAGAGATGCGTTCCGATTCCTGTTGGGTTTGTTATATTCACTTACATGCAAATACCCTTAGGAAAGGCATAAATCCACCTCATCTGCCTCCAGCTATAGGTTAATAGTAGGACTTGTATCAGTAATCATTATTTTCTCCAAAAAATTCTTACAATCTAAAAATATTCTCTGGCTCTCAACCTGCAAAAGGCTGATAAGCCATAAAAAAGAAATCAATCAAAAGATATTAATAGTAAATTTTACTCTTTTTCATGTCATACAAATGTTGCCCTGTGCCAGGATAAATTAAACTTTTCCATCAAGGAAAAATTTCCATTATTTACAGTCAGACAAATGTCCTCATCTTTGTTGTGATTATCACAATGTTTCAACCATTGCACCATCCAGCCTTCTTCAGATGTTAATCAATCCAGGTAATCCTCAGGGAAATTGAAACTCATTTAATCCACAGAGGTAGATCATTCTCATTCTGCTGTCCAAGGATATTTTGTCTTGTTCCTTTCAGTACAGCAGAACATGAAGAATCTACTCTCTATAGACTAACTAAAGGGTACAGTATGAAATTTCTTAAAGGTTACTGTTATATCATGCTTCATAGCGCTTATAATATAAGTAATGCTTCAACAACTTGCCATGATACCTGTATTACTTAGTCTGAATGACTCTAAATGGCTTCTGTTTCTTACCACTGACCTGGAGCTCTTTATAGTTATGTACTAATTCATATAGTCACCAGGGGTGTACTATTTACTCCACAACATCCCCACTTTTGAGATTAGTACTTTTTATAGATATTTTATTTTTTATTAGTATTAGTCGCTCCCCTTCCTCTTTTTAGATAGTTCACCAATGTACTTGAATTTGTAGCATTTCCGTCTTGAATCCACTTCCAGTTTTTCAGTATGCTTTCTTTTCCTGAAAGTTGTCCTTGTAAGTTCCATGACTTGTTGTGGTGGTGATACATCAAAAAACATTATATAGCATTTTTATCAGTTCTTCAAATGTTTCAGTTTTTTTATCAATTAACTTTTTTCAGCTAATTATGGTGCTTTTTATGTTCACATCTTTTACCACGTAGATCAACTTCCCAATTCTTGCTGATATTATGCCATCTTCCTACATTTCTGTGTCATCCTTATATGCTCTAAAGAACACTTTAACGCCAACCTTGAAACTTTGGGTGTTGTTTTTGCTATCCATTCATGTTTGTTGACTTGATAATAACTTAACACCAATTTTACGTTTCTAGCAAACATTAATTCTGCTGGTGACAAGCCTGATGGGGTATTGGGGTTAGGTGTTACATAGTAAACAATCAGAAAATTTTGAAGTGTTTTCTCATTTACTTTTTTTAGACTTGCTTTCTTCAATGCTCTTCTTGAACGTTCCAACAAATCATTCTGCTTGTCCATTCAACCTTGGGTGATATGGTGGGGTCGTAATTTGTTCAATGGAGAACATCTTAGAAAAGTCTTTGAATTCTTTACCTGTGAATCAGAAATTATGAACTATGGTATCTGGGATGCCATATCTTGTAAAAACAGTTCATCAAGAAACGTCTGTCACTGAAGATGTTGGATTTTTGTGCTTATAAATCTTTGGCCATTTAGTGAAACTATCATCTGCCACAAGATAATTTAATCCATTCAAAATCTATATGCAGTCTTGATCATAGTATGTCTGTCTTTGGCCAAAGTTCTATCTTTGTGACAGGTAATTTTGCTGCCAGAGCACAACCACTGCAAACTTTCATTTTTTTTCAATATCTTGGTCCATTCTGGTTCAATATACAAAACTTCTCATCAGAGATTTTATTCTTGAAATACCAGGATGTCCACTATGAAAAGCCTTCAATATTTGTTTCTGTAATGTGCATTACAACCCTTTGCCCAAACATTACTACAGTGTTTCATAGTGAGTAAGCATTAAATCTGAATTTCATTCTTTATTTTCTTTCAATTGCTTTTTTATTTTAATAATAAAGACATCATTTTCTGCTTTTTCTTTTAATTATTCCAAGGTAACTAGTAACTCATGTACTATGTTGCACAAAATGTTTTTTATTTCCATTTCACTTTTTATTGCTGCAAGGGTCATGTCCTCAAATTGTTCTGCATTTTTAGGTATTAATCTTGATAATTCATTCCAAATTTTTTTAGATGGTTGGTACTTCATTGTAAAATCATAGTTTAATAAGATGGTACCCCAGCATTGTAGTCTATCAGTTGTATGCATAGGTATTCCTTTCTTTGAACCATATATTTCTAATAGATGTCTGTGGTCTGTTTGCAACCTAAAATTTATTCCATGAATAAATTTATGAAATTTCTTCATTGCAAATATAATTGCTAGAGACACTTTTTCTATCTGTCTGTAATTTTTCTCTGCTGGTAGAAGTGAGCATGAAGCATAAATGAAGGCTTTTATTTTACCACCATCATATTTGTGCAAAATCACTGCTCCAATACTGTACTCACTAGCATCTGATGCCACTACAATTTCTGCTTTTGGATCATAGTGTGCTAATGATAAATTTAATGTCTTTTTTTTTTATTTCATCAAACACCTTTTGGTAGTTATTATTCCAGTTCTGCTTTACTCCTTTTTTAAGTAGATCGTTCAGTGGAGTGCTCAAATTATGTGTATTATGTACATATATTTGATCGTAATTAGCCAGACCTAGAAAAGATTGTAACATAATCACATTTGTTGCTGGAGGCATATTTTTAATTTCACTTGCCCTTGATCGATCTCGTTGATGACCATTTTTATCAATAATTTGACCAAGGTATTTAATTTTCAGCAAAAACAATATGCATTTTTCTGGAATCTGTACTTCCAAAATGGTTTTCCTATGCCCATCATGTTCTTTTGATACACTTTTGATTAATATGTTGTCCAGATATGCTACTGCAAAATCACAATCAACAAGCATGGCATATTAGGCTTGTTGAAAAATAGCTGGTGCCACCTTTATACCAAAAGGAACTCAATTAAACTTATATAATCCTCTATGTGTATTTATGGTCTTTAATTCTGAACATTCATTTTCAATCTGAATTTGTAAATATGCTTCAGAGAGATCCAGCTTTGGAAATATTCTTCTGCCATTTAACTTAGAAAAAATTTCCTCTGGACTTTCTAATGGATAGTTATGTTTTTCTAAAAGACTGTTTAATCCTGTTGAGAAATCCACGCAAACATGAACTTTATCATTTTTTCTTTACATACCCCACTGGTGCAGCTCATTTTGAATGGTTAATTTTTTATATTAAACCAATTCTTTTGAGTCTGTCCAACTCTTTGTTGACTTGTTCCAATGCTGCAAATGGTACACTCCATTTCAGCTTAAATACTGGCATCAATCCATTTTTTACTTGAAAATCTGCTTTGAATTTTGAACACTGACCCAGTTCATTTGATAGAACATCTGGAAAACATTTTTTTAATTCTTCCTTAAGTTTTTCGCTCTAACTTTTTAAATTGGTCGCTTGTCCATTTACATTTTTACAATAAACATTTATCGGCAAATCCCAAAGTTCAAATAGTTCCATCCAATCAGTATCAAATAAATTCATAGCATTTTTTAATACATAAGCTTTAGTTTTTACAAGCTTTTTATGGAAGTCATTTCTCCCTGCAAAAATAATTTTTCACCAGAAATTGATATTGCGACTTTGGAAGTCCTTTTTAGTAAAGGCTTCCCAGTTTCCTTCCATGTGGTTTCACTGATTATTGAAATATAACTACCAATGTCCAGTAGTATTTTCACACCCATATTATTTATTTTCACATTCACAAATTTCCTTTTGCTTTCTGTAACAATTTTTTTGTTGCAGTGCTGCGTCTGAATTTTTTCCTGTGAGAATTTTTTCTTGGTTTGGTTTTGCAGTGTGACTTTATATGGCCTCATTTATCACACATGTAATATTCTGCATTTTTAAATGAACAGTCTTTTCCAAGATGTAATTTAGCACATCTGAAACAAGGATTTATTCTCCTTTTTGTATGTTTGTCCTTTCCTTGTACCAATGCATATGCTTTTTTTCTGAATTTTTTCAGCATCATGTTTCAGACTTATACTTGTCTGGCAATCATCCACTATTTCTTGCAGTGTAATATTACTGTTTTGTTCAATTTTCGTTAAAATTTTCGCTTGTATTTCAGCATTTTTTTAGCTGTTAAACCTTGAATGAAAATTAACCCTTTGAATATATTAGGAGTCATTACCTTTATTCTAAACTTTTCACATTCTTTGTTGATGATACCAGCATACATAACAAAATCTTCATCCTCTTTTTTGGTTAGATTTGTGCACCTCCAACGAGCATTAAGCAGAGAGCTCTTGTCACTAAAGATTTTCGTTAGAATGTGTACTGTTTCTTCAAGCCTAATTTCACCTGTTATTTTTTTTCAGTAATATGTAGTTGTAGTATTTTTCATAGTCTATTAG